TCCTCACACTCCCCTCCGCAGCCCCTCACATGAGGTTGCAGCTCTTGGCACGATCCTTGTGTATCTCGCCCTCATTCCCCCGGTCTGGCCGTCCTGACAGCTGAGTGGACCGCTGAAGTCCCCGGCGTGAGTCAGTACGGCGCAGCTGCCTATGGCCACGGCCAAGGGAGGCCACTGTGGCCACATGAAAGACATCCCTGACGCTGCGCTCAGAGGACCTGGAGGAGCATTCAACATAGGACACAGCCCCCACCTGCTTGGCCAGCACAGTCCCCTGGAAAAGAAGAGCATAAAAGAAAGTTATAGGGCTTATACTGCGGCTCAGCAAAGGGCAATGGATGCTGTGGGCTGAGGTTGGAGGTCAGTGTTTGGGGAAGGCCAAGGGTCAGAGGTCAGAGGACAGAGTAAAATGACAAGCCAGGTAGGGCGTTTTCAAATCAGAGGCAGAGAAAGGCAGAGGTTAGAGGTCTAGGTTAGGATTAGGTTAGAGGTCAAGGTCCCACCTGCTCATGTGTAACAGGGATAAGTCTCTGCTTGGACAGCTCCCTCAGTGTGGCCAGGTCCGTCCGCATGTCCAGTTTACAGCCAACCAGCACAACCTTGGCATTGGGGCAAAACTCCTGAGTCTCACCCTGCCACTATTTGAGAGAAGAAAATAGTTATGGAGGGATAAAGGGAAGCACAGGGAAAATTCCTGCTCCACACCAGGAGGATGCCCTTCCTTCCTCATAGCATGCAGAAACCAGGTATCCTTCTGCATTCTCCCATGTGAGAAAGGATCTGGGAATATTGGGCTTGGGTTGACAGCACAATGGGGTTCAGAGAAGGAGATAGTGAAGAGAGCTGCAATGGGGCTGTGGGAATGGGGCCCTCCTCTGCCCTGAAGGGCTAGGAAGGGTCTACCAGCCTGGAATCTTCCCATTCCTACTCCCCTTTCCCATACTTTCTCTTGTGAACATACAAACCCCACCCTCCCTTGACTGGAAACTGGTGCTGCTAGCTGATTCCAGTCCATTCACCATGGGCTTTTCTCATGGAAATAGGGGCCTGAAGAGGAGGCCTCAGGGCTATCCTGAGCTCCAGGATCAACATTCCTATTCCCTTCATCTGGGGCTCCCAAACCAAGAAGAAGGGGAGAGCTGGTAGGGAATCCCTGAATACTTCTCTCTACTCTCCCCATATCCTCCAGCTATTGTTTTCAGCTGTGAAGGGACAGGATAGGAGGAATGAGGGGAGAGTTGGGGGGGGGGAGCTTCACCCACTATCCAGCTGATAGCCAAGCCCCAGTCATCACTTCTTCCTCAGGACCATACTGTCCAGTCCCCTCAGTCTAGCTGCCCTGCTTCCCCAGTCTCCCACCTTCTTAAGGACACTGTCCAGTGTTTCTGGCCGGCTAATGTCAAAGCAGATGAGCACAGCATCGGAATCAGGATAGGCCAGAGGCCGCACGTTATCATAGTAAGAGGAACCTGAGGGAAAACAGTGAAGGGACAGACAAGGGTCCTGAGTGAGTGGCAAACCTAGAAGGGAATAGTAGACTTATGAAATCTTGGTTAAGGGATTCTGGGAGCAGAGAATGGAAAAGAGCAATCATTAATACACATCACAGAATTCTGGTATTATTCCAAGGAGAGGAGCAGGCAGAGGGGAAGTGAAATGGTGGGAAACATCTCTGGGTTTCCCTAAGAGTAATAATTCTCTACTCCCCCCATCCCCAAATACTGGGGACTGAACCCAAGAGTGCTCTACTACAGAGCTTGATCCCCAGCCTTTTTTTTTTTTTAATACTCATCTTCTAGGTGTAATTGGACACAACACCTCCACGTTATTTATCTGTCCCTATCTGTTGTTGAGGATTGAACCCAGGGCACTGCATGCCCTAGGCGAGTGCTCCACTGCTGAGCCACAACCCCAGCCCCCTAGCCTCTTTTATTTTGAGACAGGGTCTCAGTTACCAAGGCTGACCTCAAATTTGTTATCTTCCTGCCTCAAGCTCCTGAGTAGCTGGATTATAGGCATATGCCATTGCACCCATCTAACAGTAATAATTCTTAATCTTTTTGAGTTTCAGACCCCTTAGAGAAGCTCAGGAAATCTATCAACATTCTCACAAAATTCTGACTGTACTTTCTGAGCTTGTTTTGACAGACTCCCCTCCCCACCCAGTGGAACCCAGGGTCTTCCACATGCTAGGCAAGTGCTCTACAATTGAGCTATACCCCCAACCCTTGACAAACATCTTCTAAAGCCTTAACATAAAAACCCTCCTCATTTTGGGGGGAAGGTAAGGAGCAGGGGTAGGGAAAGAGCTCTCCCATCCTCTTGGGAATGGATCTCAGATTTTTTTAGTTCAGCTCAGAGAAATCACTCTCCTTTACCCCAAGAAGGAATTCTAAGTATATCTCCTATACTCAGTTCCTAAAAACACTTGTTCCAAAATATAAGCCATTCCTTCCCAACTTTCCTAGGTAGGCAGAACATAGTTGAGGGGCTTTCTCCTTCAGGACATGGTTTCTATTAGGCTGAGTGTGCTCTGCCTCAGTTTCCCTGGCTTTAAGCAGATATTTGATATTCTTTTCTCCTAGAATTGGATGAATGGGCTAGGATGACCTGGAATCTAAGGTTTACTCAAGGGAGAGGTCAGGCTGGGGGCCTCAGAAGTCAGGGTGACCCCCGAGGGACCTGGCTACCTGAAGTATCCCACATGTTGAGCTCAATGCGGCGTTTGTCGATCTCAAAGCTCGCGGTGTAGTTCTCAAACACAGTGGGGACATAACTCTGCAGATACAGATGGGTCAAGATGAAATCCTTTCTCCAGTCCTCACAAATGCCCTCCTTCCTCCCATACCGGGTCCAGCCCAGTCCCTGGACAGAAGTTGGTCTGGGGTTGGGCAAAGGGGAGATCCCGGGAGCTGCTGCCTCCACGGATTTTCTGCTAGGCTTCCAGACCCCTTCCGGATCTCTTCAGCCTTTAGTTCTCTCCCTCTCAGCTGCCCAGAATCTCCGACATTACCCCCTGCGCGCCCTCCCGGATCCTCTGGTTCTCCCAAATCCCATCCATCTCGCTATGATCCCTAATTCCTTCCACCCCAATCCTCTGCAGTCCTTTCAGAGCCCCCAACATCTCTTCCCCCTCTCCAAGCCCCTCTCTCTTGTCCCTGGTTACCTTGGCACCCGTTTCCATCCGTCCCCGGGGCCCCTGTCACCCATCCCCGGTCCCCTCTCAAAAAGCGGATTCCTCACCCCGGGGTAGGCGTCCTTGGCGAACACCTGCAGCAGCGCCGTCTTGCCGCACTCTGCATCCCCCACCACCACGATCTTGCAGCGGCCGCTCTGCCCCTCCATAGTCCCGGCTACGCGCCGGCCCCCCACGCCGCCCCCCTCTTGGGCCCCGCCGCCTCCTCTACCGCCACCTCCCTCGCCGCTGCAGCTGCAGCCGCTCGGGCCGCCGACACCGGCATCTCGCGGGCCCGCGCGGAGCCCCCGCCCGGGGCTGCGGCCCCCTCCGCCCCGCCCCTAGCCTGGGGGCCGCGCCCCCAGCCCCGCCTCCCGCCCTCGCAGCCGAGGGGCGGGGCTCAAAGGACCTGGGAGGAGCCTGGGGAACCCGGGTCCTTGAGCGGGGATCTAGGTCCCTGGTGCAGTCTAAGAGGTTCCTGAGGGTTTGGGGCTGGCCAAGACCCCGCTTATTTGAAGTCCTTGGGAATGGGGGCGGGGCGGAGTTGGAGCGAAGTTCTGAAGGGTAGGGTGTGAGCGTCACATTCACGAGGCTGGGACCCACGCGTGCACGCAGGTGTGCCAGTGCGGATACGCGCGGTGGCAGCCATCCACTTCCTGAACACAGGGGGCGCGAGATGACTGGGAAAGGAAAAAGTCTTTGGTTTCGTCTCCCTCCTCCACTCTTGTGTCCTGGCGGGGGATTTGGGGAAAATGGGAATATAGACTCCTACACACCCACTTGGTGGCGGGTGACATCATAGCTTTCCGTCCCCATGGCGACGGGTGGCCGGGTCTGGGGCTGTAGTGACTTAACCGCGGGCCTGGACTAACAGGGAAACGTGGACTGAGTTCCTTAAACCAAGTGTTGAGTGGAAAGTTTTGGGGAAGCTGCGTCCCCTGGTGGATGCTTGGGGAGAAGGAGAAAGGGAAGAAAAAGATGATGAACTAATTACCGAGGACTGGAGCCAGAGCCAAGCCCAAAAGTCAATTCAGGCTTGACTTAGATTCTAACAGTAATCAAACCCATGTTTGCATCTGCATGTCATCGTTTATCTTTTAAAAAATGCTTCTTTAGGACTGGGGATGTGGCTCAACTGGTAGCGCTCTCGCCTGGAGTGCGTGCGGCCCAGGTTCGATCCTCAGCACCACATACCAACAAAGATGTTGTGTCCGCCGAGAACTGAAAAATAAATATTAAAAATAAAAATTCAAAAAAATATATTTTTAAAAAAAAAATGCTTCTTTAAATCAGAGACACTAGATTTAAAGAAGCATTTGCGTGTTGTAAATAACCCTATAAATATAACTACAGCACCAGCACCAGCACCACTTTACAGAAGGCAAAATGAGGCACAAAGCGTTAATAAAGTCAGAAAGATTTAAAAGTTTGGTCTCCATGCTTTTAGTTTGCCACTGTAAGGCCACAATGAATGAAGCCTGATTCTTTGCAGGGTTACTGATGGATAGAATCAGAGCTTGAGGTACAACCTGATTGGGTTCTGGTCCACAAGTGGCTGGTTCCCCAAATCTGATGTAAACTCAAACTTTGGGACTGTCCTTCAGAATGCTTCTTAACATAGCTTTAAGTTTTCATAAGGTTTATTGTGAATAAGTAAGTTAAACACAATTTATTCATGTTATAAGAATGTCCTCATGTGTATCAGTGGTCCTATGCGACCGAACCCCTCCCCCCCCCCTGGAAGCTGGCACTGCAGAGGCCTTGGCCCTTTAAGTCTGAACGCTAGGCCCCGCCCCAGACTCGGCGCCCCACCCAGCTGGTTGGAATCCGCAGCCGCTGCACATCCCGACGTGCGCCCCGCCCTCCCCAGCTGTGCACCCTCAGTCCAGCTGTGCTCGCTTGTCGGGAGTCCAGCCATGTCCGCCGAGAGAGAGGTAGCCGAAGCGGCCACTGTGGTGGTGGCGGCGGCCGAGGAAGGGGCCAAGGAAGATGTTTCTTCGCAACCCCCGAAAGCTGAGGCAACTAGCGACCCGCAGCCGCCCGCGGCCTCTGAAGGAGCGGCCGCCGCCTCTCCGCTGCCGCCGCTGCGCTGCCTGGTGCTCTCTGGCTTCGGCGGCTATGACAAGGTGAAACTGCAGAGCCGGCCGGCCGTGCCCCCAGCTCCCGGGCCCGGTCAGCTGACGTTGCGCGTCCGGGCCTGCGGGCTCAACTTTGCAGATCTCATGGCCCGGCAGGGGCTGTACGACCGGCTGCCACCGCTGCCCGTCACTCCTGGCATGGAGGGTGCGGGCGTTGTGATCGCCGTGGGCGAGGGAGTCAACGACCGCAAGGTGAGCGGGCCAGTGCAGGGTAGGTAGGGACTGCGCAGGCCGCGGGGCAGTGGGGCACGAGTGGGCGGGCGCCGGGGGTGTGGCAGGGCGGGGGAAACTGGCACGGATCTGGGTAGACAGACATGGAAGACGTAGGAAAAAAAACTTATGTTTTGAGGATCTTGGAGAAAGGAAATTTGTTTGTCGAGGGGACAGTTAGCGTTCCTTCCCCAGCCATTTTTAGTCGCTATACCCCCCTAGTGGGAGTGGGGTTAGGTGGGGGGGGTGTGCGCGGGGGGGTGGGGGGGAGACAATAAGGCGCTCATGCGCATGCGCACTATGCCTGCTCACTCCCCACCCTACACACACTTACACACTAAAACCACACCTGTCTGTACCCCTGCCCACCAAATACTCCCTAGGTAATTGTGGTCTGTGACCCTAAGTGACGGTTAGCGTCCTCTTTTCCGAAGGGAGCTTGAGGAGCTGGGTAGTCGAGGTTGGGCGGGGGTGCAGTGGCCTTGCCAGAGCCCTAGTCACATGCAGCCCCGTGGTCTGTGGGGGTGTGTGGCGGCCCCTCCCTGAGCGGGGCCATGGAGGAGGACACGCCCGTCATGGAGGAGTGGGAGCTGTGCTGCCCCACCGCCAGCAGCCTTACACTACCCGACTAGTGTTGGGTGGAGGAGGTGGGATTGGGTCTCCTAATCTTTGTCTGGAGCTCTCTGTCTCCCGTGACTGCAATATCTTCTCCTCTGACTCCGCCGGCCGGCTACAACCCTGAGATGCCTTAGGGAGCTTCCAAGAAACGCTTCTGCCTTCCTTGGGGACCCCCACCTTAGAAAGCCCCCGGTGGGAACCATTTGGGGCAAAGTGGGGAGGTGTGGCACCGTGAGCAGGTTGGCCCAGCTCTGCCGGTCGTTTCTCCTTCTCATTTGTCATTAATCTTGGCCACAACCCCGGACTCTAGAGACTTCCATATGAGCAACTTTTTGAAAAACCTGGGGGGACACATCATGTGTTTAGGGGTTTCTTTTCAAATCTTGTGTGAAGAGCGGATGCACTCTGCCTATTATCTGACCTAGATTTGTTGAGGTTATTGTACATAAACCCTTAAAGGTTTCTCCCTAAATTCAGCTGTGGCCCCACCCTCACCCTGACTTCTAAATAATCCCACCCCTGAGAAAATGCTAAGAGGAATTTGGGGAGGGGGAATTGTCATTCACGTTACTGCTGAAGGCCACACACCTATTCTCCCGTCCCCACCCACTTTCCGCTTGATAAATACAGGATTTCCTGACCAGGGAAGAATCTGATGTAAGAGCCTGGATTCTGTGGGGAGGGCCCTATCTCCCTCCTGTGGTCTAGGCTGGGAGGGTTAAGTCCCTGACCTGTGATGGGCTGAGGGTGAGCCATGAGCCAGGCTAGAGACTTGTTCTGGGCCAAATCTGGGACTGGCCACCACCCGGAATGACTGCACTGTTTGCAGCTCTCCTAGGACTTGTTAGACCTGAGTCCTGGGATGGAGGGCTTTGTTCCCCAGACCTCAGGCCACAACTGTGGAGAAAGATCCCAGTCTACTCTTAGTTCTCCTCTTCAGTGGAGTATAGGATCTTGAAGATGTGAAAAAGGGCTTGTGGCCATGGTGTATTCCTGTAATCCCAGACACACAGGAGGCTGAGGCAGGAGGATCACAAATTTGAGACCAACTGGGCAACTCAACAACACCTTGTCTCAAAACAAAAAATAAAAAGGACTATGATGTAGGTCAGTGATAGAGCGTCCCTGGGTTCATTCCTCAATACCACAAAAATTAAAATTAAATTAAAAAAAAAAAGGAGTGTGTAGGAGTCCCACTTCCTTTCCCTATAGATCCTAAGTCTTGTTAATATAGATTCCCATCATTCCTGGCAGGAACTGAGAGAGACCTGGATTGTCCTGGAACAATACCCACACCTCCCTCTCCATATTCTTCAGAGAGCCAGGAGAGGCTCTTTCTTTCACCGGAGGACTACCCCCTCCTCCTTGCCCTTCCCTTGCCCTGGTTGGTCAGCTAGAAGGATTGTTATCTTTGTCCCCTTTTCCTCCTGCAAAGAGGCTCCTGTGCAAATGGCTGAGAATGAGAGAAAACACCTTTTCCTAGTGCGTGGGATGGTGTGTCATTCCTTATGCATTGCCCCTCCCACATGATCTCTGGGTGAAGGTGTTTTCTGAGCCCGTAATACTGGCTCAAATACAACTTTTGATGGATCACACCGAGCCCTAACCACTCAGAGACATTTACCTGTGCTTTGGCAAGGTCCTTACCACATGCTTCCCTCTTCCTTCAGTTATTTGTGTGACTTCCTCTTCTGCTATTATTGTTATCATTGTTATTACCTAACATTACCAAGTGCTTACAATGTGCTAGACATTGTGTTAAAAGTCCCTGAGTTTTTTCATTTAATTCTCATCATTCCCCTACTTTACAGATAAGAAAAACTGGTTAAATACTTTTATTTGCCCAAGGACACATTGCCAGTAAACAGTGAAACTCATTTTTATAACCAAAAACAGTTTGATCTCTTCAATAATACTCATGCTGCCCTAACTGTAATCTTCTTGCATTCAGAGTTCTTACACAATAATTAAGTGCATGATCTGTAAAATGGAGATAAGGATAGTATCTACCTCAGAGTTGATGTAGGGATTATTTGGGTGCTTATATATAAAGCACAGGGCATAGGGCCTAGCCTTCAGTAAGCACTCAGTGTCTTAATATTTATTTTTTAGGTGTAGATAGACACAACACAATGCCTTTATTTTTATGTGGTGCTGAGGATGGAACCCGGGTCCCACCTGTGCTAGGCGAGTGCTCTACCGCTGAGCCACAATCCCAGCCCCTTTACTGCTATTTCATCTCAAAGAAGATGGCTGGGCACATAGTGGAAAGTCAGTAAATCACCTTAGGTGAATTAATTGACTGAATGCTGCTATTCTCCCATTCTTCAAGGCAGGGGATCGGGTGATGGTGCTGAACCGGTCAGGAATGTGGCAAGAGGAGGTGACTGTGCCCTCAGCCCAAACCTTCCTGATGCCTGAGGCCATGACCTTTGAGGAAGCAGCTGCCTTGCTGGTCAATTACATCACAGCCTACATGGTCCTCTTTGACTTCGGCAATTTGAGGCCTGGCAACAGCGTCTTGGTACACATGGCTGCAGGTGACAGGTCCTTTCTGTTTTCCCCTTTCCTTACCAGATTTTCCTTCCAGGCTCTTCTAAAGCCTGTCTGGTTTGTTGTCATGGTAACACCAGGCTGCCTTGGCCTGTGACACTAGAGGCCTCTGCAGTATAGTTGCCATGGTAACATTCAGGCACCAGGTCCAACCTAGTGTCCTTAGCAACATGCCCTCACTCCATACCTTCTCTTCTCCAGTGACCCTCCCTCAGTTCTTAATTATGGAAATTGGACATGGACCCCAAAGTGAATCTAGGCACAATAAAATTGATGGACTGACTGGGTCCTTGGGAGACTAGTATGAAGAATAGTGACTAGGTGACTCCATAACCGCTTCTTCTGGATGTTTGTTTTTTTTTTTTTTTTTTTTTGTCAATGAACCTTTATTTATTTATTTTTTATCTATCTACCTACCTGTTTATTTATATGGGGGTGCTAAGAATTGAACCTAGAGCCTTACCCATGCTAGTGGTACCTACCACTGAGCTATAACCCCAGACCTTTTCTGGGTATCTTGCTGCAGGTGGTGTGGGTATGGCAGCTGTGCAGCTGTGTCGTACAGTGGAGAATGTGACAGTGTTCGGAACAGCCTCAGCCAGCAAGCATAAGGTGCTGAAGGAGAATGGGGTCACACATCCTATCGACTACCACACAACTGACTATGTGGATGAGATCAAGAAGATCTCCCCCAAAGGTAGGGGGTCAGGGTATGGGAGTGGGTAGGATGTCACAAGACCGGAAGAAGGTCCTTAGATCTGTGGATCCTAATGTTGTTCCTGGATCCTTTACTTTGTGACAGGAGTGGACATCGTCATGGACTCTTTGGGTGGGTCAGATACTGCCAAGGGCTACAACCTCCTCAAACCCATGGGCAAAGTCGTCACCTATGGTGAGTTCTTGAGCCAGAGATGGAGAGGATGTTAGGGGCAGGAGGGTGGGGTAGGTCTGATTATTGGGAAACTGAGATATAAGAGCCTGTGGCTTTTGAATGAAGAAGGTGCAGAGACTTGGGGGCTCTACAGAGAGGATCAGGGTTACACTCAGGTTGCTGCCTGCTGGATGCCAGCTACTTTCATTCTCTTTTGTAACTTTTCTTGTGAGTCATAGTAAATCATTGTGTTCTCTCTGTGCTCCTGTCTGGGGACAATTCCTGATACAAAACCAACCAGTCTGCTTTCCTTCTGACTTCCCCTGCTGGGCCTCTTAGGCAAGCTAGATTTTCATTTTAAAAAACTACTCCACACAAAAAGTTTAGGGTCAGGAATGCAGCTCAGTGGTAGAACACTGGCCTAGCATGCATGGGACCCTGGATTTGATCCCAGCACTGGAAAAAAAGGAAATAAAGATTAGATTCTGAGTGAGCCTGAGAGGATTTGGGCCAAGTAAGCAGAAGTAAGGAATCATCCTGCACTCCGTGGCAATGGTATGGAGAATTGCAAGGAAATACAGGGGTACATGAGCATGGATTCATACATTCAGGCATGTACTTGGCACCTGGATCACAGGCCCTATCGCCCCACCCCTCAGGAATGGCCAACCTGCTGACGGGCCCCAAGCGGAACCTGATGGCCCTAGCCCGCACATGGTGGAATCAGTTCAGTGTGACAGCTCTGCAGCTGCTACAGGCCAACCGGGCTGTGTGTGGCTTTCACCTGGGCTACCTGGATGGTGAGGTAGAGCTGGTCAGTAATGTGGTGGCCCGCCTTCTGGCTTTGTACAACCAGGGTCTCATCAAACCTCACATTGATTCCGTCTGGCCCTTTGAGAAGGTGAGTGTGGTGACCTTTCAGGGTGGCAGGGCCTAAGTAGGCCTTGTGAAGGGTGTGGTCTCAAGGGAAGAGGGAGGGAAACAACTCCTTTGGGCTGCCTCTTGTGGGACAGGGACCAGATGGGATCAGAGTCTTCTCTTCCCTTCCAGGTGACTGATGCTATGAAGCAGATGCAGGAGAAAAAGAATGTGGGCAAGGTCCTCCTGGTTCCTGGGTCAGAGAAGGAGAACTAGGACAAGGGACTCAGGACCCTTGAGGCCTAGAAAGGGAAGGGAAGGTTGGGAAGCCCCATTTCTGATGACCACCAGACTCTTACATTTCATCCTCTTATCATAATGCTCTTCCCTCCCTCTCTCCCCAAAGGTCTCTGTGGTGATGAACACTTCCGGGCCCTGTTCTTTCTCTTTGGTCAGGGCTGCTCCCTCCCCCTTCCTGCCCTCCAAGAGGTTGGGAAGTGACCACTTGGATGTTTGGGGCCTGCCAAGGGGACAGGGAGGGTCAGAAGGAGGCTGATGGCTTCCTGCCCCCACCCTTTCCCGGGCCTGCTGTGCTGCTTTTGTGCCAAGGTTAGCTAATCCCTCCCCATCCTGTTGTGTGTGCTTCCGCTTCTGCCTCATCTTCTCTCCCACCCCTGCCCCACCACCTCCCCAAAGAATTGAAATGTCAGCTCAGGATAAGGGGCCAATCTGTGTGAGCCCAGCATGTACCTATCTCTCCCTAATGTCCCTTCAGCCCAGGGCCGACCAGCGCCCACCTTTGGGCTTGATCAGTTCCCAACTTTGTCGTCTGTCCCCAATTTATTAAGCACAGTTGGATTACTTCCACTTCCAGGTTTGCTGCCATCCTTAACCAAGGCCGCCTCTTACAACAAGGACAGGAAACAGACCCATGTCCCAGGTCACAACTCTGGGAGGGAGGCAGAGTACCCCTACCCTTCACTGAGGTCTCTGGATTTGTTCTCAGTGCCTTAGCATCGGAAAACCTGTGCTTGTGTGTGTGTATTTGAGGGGGGGGGATCCCTATCTCTGGCTTCCTCCTTCCTGTCCTCCCCAGTGCCTTCCTTATTCTGGTGGAGATGGGGTTTTACTTCTCCCCAGTCCTACAACACTGCCAAAAATCTGTGTATGTGCCAGTGGGTGGGGGGCCAGCCATTAGCATCTTGGGGTCAGGGCAAAAAGTAGTTGCCCTCAACATGGTCTGTGCCATGTCCTGTCTTTTATCAGACCTGGAGGAGAACAAGATGAGAAGCTTTAACAGGCTGATCTGGGAGATGCAATGTTGTGTCTTGTTCTGGGACCAAAGTGAAAATCAAAGCACATTCCCTTTGTAGTCAAGGAGGCCTCACCACCTTCTCCCAGAGGGAGGCAGCTTTTCAGCTCAGCCCCAAACTTTGTTTACATGGTGGGGAGATAGAGCAGGAAAATAAAGGGGGGTGGTAAGGATCTGTACCACGGGAACCAAAGTGGGGACTTCCTAGGGAGGAGAATAACTCCCTCTGCTGAGTTGGCATTAGGGAGGATTATTGCCCCAGCCATTGCTAATGGGAGGTGGGGGGTGGGGGAATTCAGCTTCTTCCTTGTCTAAATGAGGCCTACATGTGGGAAGTGCGATTTCTGCTTTTGTGTACCCCACCCCATTACCGAAGCTGCCTTTGTGTTTGTGTCAATAAAAAGCCAAACCCTGGGTCCTTGATGTTGCCTTAGAGTGGAGGGGAAAGTGAACTCCTGGAAGGCCAGTGCTGATGGCAGGAAGTCAGGGTTCTTCCCTGTCCCAGTCTCCCTTCCATACCCAAATCAAGTTTCCTTTTATGAGTGAAATGAGGAAGGACATCATGCCAAGTAGGCACTTTTACTCTTCCCTGGCAGCGGTTCACAATGTGTAATCCCTTCCCCCTGTCAGTAAACGTAAAGATCTATGCTTACCCAACTGCAGCTGGTTGGAGAACCTAGACTGACTCAGAGGTGAAGACTGCCAGGCCCTGCTTTCCTGGGGGCACAACTGCCAGGGCTTCCACCTCCCCACCCCCTCGAGTGGGCTTCTGGAAGTGAATCTCTAAGATGTCATGCATCTCTGGGCCATCGAGGACATCGGGAATGTTGAGTACCAGCACTGAGCGGAGAACTGTCTGGGATCTGATCTGAAAAATAAGCCAGGAGATGGTAAAGACTCAAAGAGATTGGGGCAGCAGATGCCCTGTGAGAATATGGAAGGGTCAGGATGATGGTGGGTAAGGTAGGTAGGGTTTAGAGGCCCTGATCCTTGGTTAGGTTTCTGGCAGATAGACAGGTCTAAATCCCCATCATCCACCGTCCCACTTACCTCAGCCTTCTGGATCTCCCCACTCACATAGGGAAAGACTCTCAGAGGAACCTCCTGCCTTCCCAATGGCACTCTGAATTGGCCAATCCGGCACAGGTTCTGGGCCACTGTGGGGAACAAGGAAGGGTAGACATTTACCCTCAAGCCCTCTCCTCTCCTGTGATCTCATGCACACTGAAATCTAATCTCCCTGAAGTAGGCCCTTACCTTCTTCCTTAGCAAAACCCAACACAACACTTCCTTGCAGCAGTTCCCGAGTCTCCACGTCCCCACCCCCATTCCTGGCTTTGCCAAAGAAGATCTCCAGCTTGTCCAGTAGCTCCTCCTCACTCAGCCTGAGTTCAGCAGGAAATCCACTAACCAATACCCTCTGGTCATTCCTCTGGCTAGACACCTAGGAAGAGACAGGCAGGAGTGATCCCAGACTCAATCTATTTCTTGAAGCCCAGGTACAGCACACCCTTTCCATATCCCAGGATCTTATCATTCTGTTACCTGGATAGTGGTCACCATGGGTAGCTCCAAGGGTTGGACCTGTACCCGCAGCCAGCACTCCTCCATGTCAATCTTATGTTCCTTTTGTTGAAGCACTTGATCAGCAACTGGATAGCAGGAAGAACATGGTCAATACTGGGAAACCTCCCAGCCTCCCTCCTGAGATTCACCCCAAGCTCACCTTTGGGGTCATCGAAAATGACCAGAGCAGACCCTCCAGGCAGAGGGCAGCAGATCCGAAGATTGGAAACTAAAGACTTGGGCACTGGTCTGCCCTGCTTAGTGTGTCCTCGGAACACTAAGGGGAATTCTGGTACAGGGAATGGAATCTGGAGGTACAGAAAGGGAGGCTGATGAAGGGTTAGAAAGGTCCCTAATCCCTCCTGAGTAGATGGTGCCCCCAATTCAGTTTGATTGACAGAGCTGAATACATTTACTGAAAGAAGAGCTGGATTGATGAATGGATAACATAGCTCAGTCCCATAATGGGCACTTTATATATAAGATTTTAGTTTGTTCTCATATAAAGCTGAGAGGTAGTTCTACTTTACAGATGAGAAAACTGTGGCTCAGAGAGTTAAAGTAACACATTGAGGTCACACAGCAAGGAAGTGGCAGGGCCCAAAGTAAAGAACTCCCCAGCTCTTTTCCAGCAGACTGCACGTCATCTTCCTGCTTACCTTGTCTTTGGGAGAATTCCTGAGCTCCCTTTTTAGCTGCTGCAACTCCTGCAGTCTCATCTTTAGTCTGACCTGCTCCTCCTGAAGGGTGCAGAGGGTCTATTGGAACACAAGGGAACAAGCAACTAGTCACCTTTCCAGAGAACAAGCAAGCCCAGGGGAAGAGTGTCCTTTTCTGGACTCCCCAGAAGCAGACATGATGATTGGCCTCAGAACAACCCAAACCCTTTACCTTGCCCTGGGCTGGTCCTGGCACACTCCACCTGGGGATGGCTAGCCTCAGCTGCTCTAGGAAGGGCTGGAGCATTGCAGCAGCCATGGCTGGTTTGTTACTGCAGATCTAGAGCTTAAAAAACACTCATCAAGCTCCCACTATGAGACAGTGAGCCCTAACACAGGGCAGTGGAAATTAAGGGTCCAGCCCTGGGGCCTATACCAAACTACCTAAGATAGTCAATGCACAGTCACTGATTGTAAAGGTCAGCAAGAGTTTAGAGGAAGTAGTCCAGAGGGATTAACACAGCAAGGGAGGCCTCTAGGAGGAGTGGAGGTCAAGTTGCATAATGCCATAATACTGTTTGCTAACTTGTTTTTTGTGGGGATTGAACCCCAGGCCTTGCAAATGCAAGGCACACATTCTACCACTGAGTTATACCCCCAGCCTATTTGCTATTATTTACTAAATAACTTACAATATGTTAGGTACTGAGCTAAGGCCTTTTATATGGATTATATCACTCAATTCTCATGACAGCTCTATATGATAGATACCCTTTTATCCTTATTTTACAAAAAAAGAAAACCAAAATTGAGGTTAAATGGCTTGCCCAAAGTCATTTGGCCCTAGGCAGGCTGATTCCAGATTCCAACCAGTGCTGTACAGAGAAGAAATCAAGCCCAGAGCCAGCAAGAATTTATATATCTCCTAGCTTATCTCTTAACTGCAACTTTTTCCATGTGCCAACCAGCCTTTCAGGCTGATGTGATTTGGAGTAGGTCTAGAGAGACAGCCAACAGCACAGGCAGGGAAATGGCATCAGGGATACAGATAAAATACACCTTTGTTTGTGGGCTGGAGTAGACACTGGCTGGCAGAGTTCACACTGTGGTTAGGAAGGTCAAATTTAACTATGGTTAAATAAGGCTAGCTCAGAGAAGAGTGAGCTTACTTGGAAAGATGAGACTCTGTCCTGATCACCTCTGTATCCCCAGTGTCCAGAAAAGTGCCTGACACAAAAGACTTTCACTAAATGTATGTTGAATGAATGCATGAAGTGAATGAATGATAGGGTGAGAGCATGTTACCAAAGGCACTGAAAAAATTCAGTGAGTTTATTTTTTTTAAGCAGAGGAAAACTAGAGCTTGACCAAATTATGCTGGTTTATGAATAGTGAAAAAGGTCCCTAGCTGTGGTGGTACATGCCTGTTATCTCAGTTACTCAGGAGGCTGAAGCAGGAGGATTGCAAGTTCAAGGCCAGTTTCCGCAACTTAGCAAAACCCTGTCTCAAAATTAAAAATAAATAAATAAATAAAGGATGAGGGAGGGAGCTCAGTGGCAGACCCCTCCTGTGTTCAATCCCCAGTACAAAAAAAAAAAAAAAAAAAGACTCCTTGGAGTCTTGCCTTATTTAGCAGAGGGCAATGAAGCAGAAACAATGCCAAGATTTTGGACCTGTGGGTCCCTGAGTTTTGTAGCCAAACAGGCAATTATACCAACAGGCAAGGGAAGTGTGTCAGAGGCTATTAAGGACCTTAATATGTATCAAGAATAGTCAGACTTATTCATGTATCATAAGACCACCTTCTGGCCTGAGGGTGTAGCTCAGTGGTAGAACCCTTGCCTAGCATGCAGTGAGGCCCTGGATTTGATTCCCCAGCACTGCAAAAATCAAAACATAAATAAATAAAAACAAAACAAGATGTTAAGAGCTTGCCTTTCTTTTTTCTTTTTTGTGGTACTGATTGAAACTAGAGGTGCTTTATCACTGAGCAACCTACATCCCTAGCCATACCTTTATTTTGAGATGGTCTCTAAATTGCTTAAGGACCTTACTAACTTGCTGAGGCTGCCCCTGATCTTGCAATCCTCCTGTTTCAGACTCCTGAGTCTCTGGGATTATAAGCATGCATCACTTTACCCTGATATAAAGGTCCTCTGAGACCAGTTTTAAGCTAGGTGTGGTGGCACATACCAGCAATCCCAGCCACTGAGGAGGCTGAGGCAGGAAAATTTCAAGTTAAGGGTGAGGATGTAGCTCAGTGATAAAACACTGTTAGGTTCAATACCTAGGATACCCCTCAGAAAAAAAGTAAAAAGGGCTAGGCTAGGGCTCAGTGGTAGTATATCCCTGGGTTCAATCTCAGCACTGCAAAACAATAGTTTTATCGGAGGTGGGAGTGAGATGGGGTGAATCAAGGTTGTCCTTGGGAGCTCCATTTCTGAAAAGAGTATTGATGATAACAAACACATTGAACATTTGGTATGTGCTATAGTAGCCTAAGTTTTTCCTATATTAATTTATGGGTTATCTAGTCTAATTCTTATCATTTTATACCAAACTTAATAGTGTAATTCTTTTTTATTTTTAATTACTTGTTTATAGTACTGGGGATTGAACCTTGCATTATGGTAGGTTGTTAGAGGTAATTACTCAAGATAAACTACATTCCTCAGTCCCACCCCTTTCCTTACTCTTTTTATTTATTTATTTTTTGGACTGGGAATTGAAGCCAGTGTGCTTTACCACTGCGCTATTCACCCCTTTTAATTTTTTTTTTAATATTTAATTTTTTGGGCTGGGGATGTGGCTCAAGCGGTAGCGCGCTCGCCTGGCATGCGTGAGGCCTGGGTTCGATCCTCCGCACCACATACAAAGATGTTGTGTCCGCCAAAAACTAAAATAAATAAATAAATATTAAAAATTCTCTTGGGCTGGGGATGTGGCTCAAGCGGTAGTGCGCTCGCCTGGCATGTGTGCGGCCCGGGTTCGATCCTCAGCACCACATACAAACGAAGATGTGTCCGCCGAGAACTAAGAAAAAATAAATAAATGTTAAAAATTCTCTCTCTCTCTCTCTGTCCCCCTCTCTCTCACTCTCTCTTAAAAAAAATAAGAATAAAAGCTCCATGGGTTGTTTTTTTTTTTCTTAAATTCTCTCTCTCTTAAAAAAATATTTAATTTTTAGTTGTAGTTGGACACAATGCTTTTATTTTACTTATTTTTATGTGGTGCTGGGGATCAAACCCAGGGCCTCGCGCATGCTAGGCAAGCACTCTACTGCTGAGCCATAGCCCTGGCCCTTAATTTTTTTTAAATTAATTTATTTTATTTAGTTCTAATCAGTTATACATGACAGCAGAAAGCTCTTCAATTCATTGTACACAATGGAGCACAATTTTTTACTTCTCTGGTTTACATGAAATTGTCACATCATTCATGCAATCATACATGTACCTAGGGTAATGATGTCCGTCTCATTCTACCATCTTTTCTACCCTCATGCCCCCTCCCTGCTCTTTTTATTTTTTGAGACAGAATCTTGCTAAGTTGCTGAGGACCTTGATAAACTGTTAAGGTTGGCCTTGAATTTGTGATGCTCCTGCTGCTGAGTAGCTGGAATTACAGGCATGTGCCATCGCATGCATCTGGCTATAGTACAATTTTTGTAGTATAATTCCTATAGTTGTTTTTTTTTTTAATTATTTTTTAGTTTTAGGTGGACACAATCTTTATTTTATTTTTATGTGGTACTGAGGATCGAACCCAGTGCCTCATGCATGCTAGGCAAGTATTCTACCACTGAGCCAAAACCCCAACCCCCTATAGTTTATTTTTTATTTATTTATTTTTAAGAGAGAGTGAGAGAGGGCTGGGGATGTGGCTCAAGCAGTAATGCGCTTGCCTGACATGCGTGCGGCCCAGGTTCGATCCTCAGCACCACATACCAACAAAGATGTTGTGTCTGCTGAAAACTAAAAAATAAATATTAAAATTCTCTCTCTCTCGCTCTTGCTCTCCTCCCTCTCTATCTTAAAAAAAAAAAGAGAGAGAGAGAGAGTGAGAGAGAGAAAGAGAGAATTTTAATATTTTTATTTTTCAGTACTCGGCGGACACAACATCTTTGTTTGTATGTGGTGCTGAGGATCCAACCCGGGCCACACACATGCCAGGCGAGCGCGCTACCTCTTGAGCCACATCCCCAGCCCAAGACTGTTTATTTTATTTTGTTTTTGCATTTCTGGGAATGAACCTAGGGCCTTGTACATGCTAAGCAAGTACTCTATCACTGAGCTACATCCCCAGCCCTAGAGTATAAACTTACTACATCTAATGATTTGCTCAGGGTGACACACTTTGAACAAAATAGGATTTAAAATCAACCAGGCTGTCCCTCTAAAATCTGGAACAAGACAGGGATGCCCTCTATCACCACTTCTATTCAATATAGTTCTCGAAATACTGGCCAGAGCAATTAGACAGACGAAAGAAATTAAAGGCATAAAAATAGGAAAAGAAGAACTTAAATT